TATATATATATATATATATATATATATATATATATGTCTATATTGTTTTATTTATTTCAGTTTTAGTTATTTTAGTACATTAGAAACATTTAACATTTTTATTTATTTATTTACATAGTTTATCTGATAACACCATCAGTAAAATGGTGTTGTTCTGTAATATTGTTTAAAGACTCCCCCGGTTGCATTTATTGGTTTTAGTTAGAAATTATTTTATTTTCATAACACATAGGCTATCTAATGATAAAACATTGTTTCTCTCCCTGTGTCTCTTTTGTAGTTGTGTGTGGGTGTGTGTGTGTGTGTGTGTGTGGCTCCGACACCAAACCTCAGAGCCATCATCCTCATCCTCAGGTGGAGAAGAAGAGGTTAAACCGCGCGCCGTCCCCTGCCAGACCCGTCCTGAAGGATGTCCACTCGCGAACGGCCAAACCGATCGTGCCAAAATCACCCAAATTCAACAAGCAGCCAGCGTCCGCCGCGCCGGTGACACCTCAGAGCCGCGTTCCTAGACGCACCGTTCCGGGCGCGAAGGACAAAACCGCATCAGCACCTGCAAGAAGCAACAGCAAGCCCTCAGCGACAAAAAAGGCCGTTAAGGTCACTCAGCATGCAGCATCCGAGACGAAACCGGCCTGCAAAGCGGTTGATGCCGCCGCTCCGCAGATCGCCAAGAGCAAGGGACGGCTGGCCCCGGTACGCGTCCCCACCGGACGCGGCGTTTGTCAGACGGACAGCAGCTCGGATTTGTCCGACTGCCCCTCCGAGCCGCTGTCCGACGAGCAGAGACTCGCTCAGGCCGCCAGTAGCGATGCGGAGTCGGGCAGCGGCTCCGGTTCGAGCGAGCAGGCGGCCGGGGTTCGGGTTCGGATCTCAGGAGCGGGAGCTGCACCTGTGCCCGGTGCGCACGCGGACAAATGCAAAGCCGAGAAAGACGCACAATTCAAACCGGAGGGCAAGGAAATGGCCCAGGAGGAGCTGCTGAGGGAAATCGAAGACCTTCGATCGGAAAATGACTACCTCAAGGTGAGCCGACACACCGAAATGTAGGCTACTATGGTACTACCGCGGTATTCTTAAAAGTGACTTGGAGTAGGCCTACCATGGAAAATAGTAGGCCTACTTGAATGTTCAGTATCAGCATGAAGCTGCAATTAAGGGTTTTTTTTTTTTGGAGATGGTTAAACTTTTAAAAAGTAAAGTAGTACCATGGTACAGTGGGGAACTTTGATTTACTATACTACTGAATGTTTTTTGTGTGTGTGTATTTTTTTGTTGTTGTCTATTTTGTGTGTGTGTATACATGCATAAAAATATTATACAATACAAAGATAAAAATAATAAATCTATAAATTATACATTTATAACATTATTTATATTTTTAATTATTTTATAAAAAAATTTATACACACATATATAATCAGATTATTTAAAATATTTTTGTCTCTCTATATAAAATGTTTTTTTTATATATTTTTATAATATTTATTTATTAAATTCGATTTTTATTATAAATATAATATAAAATATAAATAATGTAATATCAAATTTATTTAACTTTTTTTATGTCTTGTGTGGTTATCTGAAGGATTATGGGTTGAGCTGCTGCTATAAATCCATGTGAGAGTTATAGACTGTAATTAGTTTTTGCACATGGTGACCCTCTTTATGTTCTTGCCCATGTATTAAATTCATCCTATTGGTTTTCATCTCTTAGGCTAACAGTACTGCAGCATCATTTGTCCATTAAAGCATGACAGACATGTTTTCCAGAGTAAATAAATACATAAAAGTAGCATGGCACATTTTTTTGGCCTTTGAAGGACTTTGGAGTACCATATAAACATGATGCAACATCTCTTACAAGAAGAGCTGTGATGGTATCAAAAGACAGTGCCATTATAGTAAGGTACTCCAAGATATAAAAAAAAAAATACCATGGTACTGTGAGGAGAGTAAGATCTAGATCCATAAATCTGCACTTTAACTGATTTTTAGGTCAGATCAGTCCACAGAGAACAGATTAAACCAGCGTGCATCAGAAAGACCCTCAAACTCCCGCAGGAAACGCATCACAGTCTTCGCCCTCAGTGTGATGGGTAGATGAAGGCAGACCTAATTAGCATAATTCCATAAATGATTTATCTTTTTTGTCAGATGCGCAGGGCTCGGCTGCTGTCACAAACAGGATTTTCATACGTTTATCTCTGAAGACGTGGTGTTAATCCGCTTTAGTAGCTGCGTGTAATGGCCGTGTCCCTCCTGACCCAGAGCCGGACCGTGTGTTTGGAGCCTCCCTAAAGCAGATGTGCTTATGCTCTTATTTCTGTCTCTCTGTCTTTCTGTCTCTCTGTAAGTAATACTATACTGCAGCATGTATGAGTCAATATTTAATCAAATAAACAGCAATATGTCCATGTTATAGTAGTATAGTATGACATTAATCATTTAGTCCACCATAACTCATGTTTGACAGGAACGTCCAGACAGTATGTGGCGGGACGCTGCTGTCACATGACTTTGTCCCCAACATCATACAGTGAAGGTCATTGTGTTTGGGCTGTTTGTCACTGTCTGTCTCTCTTTCGCTGTCTTTGTTTGTCTGTCTTTCCTTGCCTTTCTGTCGTTCTTCCTCGACCTTGTTTACACTGAATGCGCTGAGGCATTGTACAGTATTTACTGAGAAATGAGGCGTCACAAATGACAGTCATTCATTACAGGTCAGGATGGGGGTTTTACCGATGACTACAGTTTCTTTACCTGCAGTCTTATTTGTTTTTGTCATTTTTGAAGTGTCTTTTTCTTTATTGTAGTAAGGAGGTTGTTCTTGCCATTTCAGACCATGATTTCAGTTCATGTACACTGCAAAATTAGATCAGTTCAATTAGAATCCTGAATGAGGATTCGTATTATAATTCTAATTCAGTACTAATTCTGATTTTCATTCTAGTTCCAATCCTGATTCTTATTCTGTTTCGGTTTCTCATTCTGGCTTTTAGTCTGGTGTTCATCTTAATTTTGAATGCATTGATTCAGAGTTTTATAACCTGATTCTAATCCTGATTCTTATTCTAATTCAATTTATGATTTTCATTATAGTTCTAATTTATTATTTTTCTTTTGTTCCAACCCTCATTCTGTTTCTGATTTTCATTGTTCTTGTCCGATTCTGATTCTCCTTCTGTTTCTAATCCCGATTCTAGTTCTGATGTTCATTCTGATTCTGATTTTCATTCTAGTTCTGGTTCCAATTCTGATTCTGGTTCTTTTTCTGTTTCTAATCCCAATTCTCATTTTAATGTTCATTTTGATTCTCATTCTAGTTCTGGTTCCAATTCCGCTTCTGATTCTCTTTCTGTTTCTAATCCGGATTCTCATTCTGCTGTTCATTCAGGTTTACTCCTACATAAAGTAATTTCGGTGCAAGTTCATTCCATAATCAGATCAGTTTTAATTAGCCTTCTGAATGAGTATGATTCTGAATTTTATCCTTGATTCCCTGATCTTGATTCTGATTCTAATTCAAATTCTGATTGTCATTTTAGTTCTGGTTCGAGTTCTGATTCTCTTTCTGTTTCTAATCCTGATTCTCATTCTGATGTTCATTCTGATTTTCATTCTAATTCTCATTTTGATTCTGATTCTAATCCTAATTGTCATTCTGTTTCTGATATTGATTCTCATTCTAATGATGATTCTCATGGCTTCCGTTCATTCTTATTTTTCTTTTGATTCTGATTTGAACTCTAATCGGAATTTGATTATAATTAAAATTCAGATTTTCCTTCTAGTTCTGGTTCCAATTCGGTTTCTAATCTTGATTCTGATTCTCTTCCTCTTTCTTTTTTAATCCAGATTCTCATTCTGATGTGCATTCTGATTCTAATCCTGATTCGGTTTGCTTTAGGATGAAGTGGACGAGTTGCGAGCAGAGATGGAGGAGATCAGGGACAGTTACCTGGAGGAGGAGGTGTACCAGCTCCAGGAACTGCGCAGGGAACTGGACCGCTCCAACAAGAACTGCCGGATCCTGCAGTACCGCCTGCGCAAGGCTGAACAGAAGAGCCTGCGTGTAGCTCAGACCGGACACGTCGACGGAGAGCTTCTGCGCGGTCTGGAGCAGGACCTCAAGGTGTTTTTTTAAAGGCAATGTGTGGGGTTAAATATGTGTTTTGATATCTAAGATCACAAGTTATCATTGGTTAATTTCTCTAACTAATGAGAGTTGAAAACAAAGTAATATAACATGTCCCTCCATCCATAGGTGGCCAAAGATGTATCTGTGCGTCTGCACAATGAACTGGAGACAGTGGAAGACAAGCGCACACGGGCAGAAGATGAAAACGAGCAACTCAGGCAAAAGCTCATCGAGGTGGAGATCTCCAAACAGGCCATGCAGAACGAGCTCGAGAGAGCCAAAGAGGTACAACACGCTTCATTATTAGATATTGAGACACCTGTGCATGGTGCACACTTTTATTGAATTGGATCACAGAGGAAGTATTTTATAAGACAAGACTTTAAAAGCATATTCATGAAGTAGTGTGGCGATTTTGCATCTTTTTATTCATGTGTGCCGTTTATTTTCAAGGACAGAGAATCGCAGTTGTATTCTTAAGAGGAATATTCTGGGTTGTTTGCTTTATAGTTTAATTTCTGTGGACTACCTTTTAGCCGATTACGAAAATAATTTCTTTAGTTTGTAAAAACAAGCAGGAATTGTGTTTATATTAATGCACTTACAATGAAATCCTGAAGAGGCTCACATTATTTAAAATAAAAAATGTGAAGCTTGTATTTTTGTTAATGGAGCTCTAAGCATTTTTCGTATATAATGCATAAATCATTGCTAAAAATGAATGCTATCCTAAAAATGTATAGTTAATGTATTAACTAACATTAACACTGAGCAATAGGGTGCAAGGCTCGCAAAATCGATAGCCCGACGTCCCGGGGCTATTGTGTTTTCCAGTCGGGCTACCAAAATGTATCACCACCCTGCCCGACGGGCTATCTTGAACAGTGATATAAAATTGTTCACTAGCTTGTAGGGGTAAAACGGATCGTAGTTGATAGTTTGCACGTGTTTCTAAGTCTTGCCGATTTAAACATTCAAGTGTTTTAAACCATTCACGCACATTCGGAGCTGCGCGCAC